ATGGAGGACACAAGAGAGAAAGGAAAGAAATTAAATATAAGAGGAAGTTACAGAAGGACACAAGAAAGGAGAGAAAGGACATAAAAGATGGGAAACATAAGGAAGCAAAGAAGAGGGAAAAACAACAGAATTATAGAAATAAAAAGGAGGGAAAGAAGAAGAGAGAGAAAGAAAGGAAGGACAATGAAAGAAAACACACAAAGATGGAAGGACTTCAGGAATAATGAAACATTTAGAAAGTAGGATAAAGAATAAACTCTTGACTCTGCTGGTTAACACTTCTTGTGTTTTCCAAGCCTACCCAGATCTTTTGAAATATTCAAAACCGAAACTCTTCCAGATATTTTTCTACTCATCTTTCCATAAAGCTCTGTGAAAGTGTAGATATCGATATGCGGTCGGGTCACTGTGGCCTGCGTGAACCGGTAGAAAGTCCAACCGTCCCTCCAAACTTACCTTCTCGTTGGCGGCGTAGTCCATGAACACCAGGTCATATTTTCCCGCTACTTTCTCAAAACTGTCCCTGCGATCCCACTCGTTCTTTGTCTTATCCAAGAACCTGCAGCAACATTTCAAAGATTCAGTCAAAGCAGCGTTTTCAGAGGCTTCTGGGAAACTTTTCAGTCAGATAATCTCACTTTTTCTTGAAGATGTCTTTGGCTTTCAGCAGATCTGCCCCGCAGAGTGTGAGGCTGTTCTGACCCACTTTACCCACTGTGGAAACAAGAGATTAAGACATTTATCCTGTCAGCCCTGCTGGGCAACAGTAGAACTGTAATTATTTTTATAATCTATCACTTTATCCAGTATTTTAATTTCATTTATTTATTTTTGAAAGCAAGAGAAAAGACGAGCAAACATAACAACAGAATATTTAGCTTACCTCGACTTTTTTGTTTTAAAAGAAAACATGAACATTTATTTAATCCTACCCCTTACCTCAATTTAATGAAATATATTACTTATTCATTCAAAAATTATTGCTATTTTCTGGTCATTTTGACGATTAATCGGATAAAAAAAATGCAATTTTTTTATTTAACCACTTCAGCCGTTTTTACATAATATTTGAAATGCATTAAAAGGTTAAAATAAGCAATAAAGTAATTACTTTAATAATAAAACAAACATTTTATTGCCTAAAATAACACAGCGTTCCTTTAATAATACTGTCTCATTTATAGAAAAAGATACATCTGCAGCTAAAAAATATCTACAAATATTTTAATATTCTTTTTTATTAATAAATGGACAGCCAAAGGTGATTAATAGGAGATTTTTTTTTGCAGATTTTGAAACAGGTGGAGCTAAAAATCCCACTTGAGGAGTTCTGGGTAAAATATATCTACAGACAAAGAATGTTTTTGATCTTAAATGCAAAATGTATTTATTCTTTGCACAGTTTTGTCTTAATTGCAGCTCTGACTGTGCGGTTATTTCAGCAACTGGACATTTTCAGAGTCTCTATACTTCTGTTAATGATTAATCAGTTACTAAATTAGCTGATAACTACTTCAATAATTAATCACAGTTAGTCTGATTAATCGTTTCAGTCCTGGTGAGCATTGCACTCACCTCGGCCCCATCTCATCCAGACGCTGTAAGCCTTGGCGCCGTCGTCCTCCAGCAGCTGGATCAGGTAATATTTATTGTTGTTGAACTGCAGGTTGGTCTGCCAGGCAAATAAATAACTAATAAATGCAAGTAAAACTACAAAATTTAATTAATTTAAAACGTTAAATGAGGGTTTCAAGAATTCAAATAGTGCTCTAGAACTATTTATTTTACCAAAAACAAGCTAAAGCATTTCTACATTACTGCTTCAATTTATGAAAAATATTATGTGGGATTTTTGTTAAGACACAGACAAATACATTTTTGTTTAGTTTTTAATTTATTATTATGTCTGATCTGCAGACTCAGATTTCAATGGATTATGATTAATTTATTTTATGAAGCAAAATACATTTAATGACCAGAAAAAAATATATATTTTTCAGTATTTGACTTGTAAACAACCAATCAAAAGAAGATCACAGGAAAATTGATGGATTCTAATTTCTGGTTGATTGATTGGTGCATCAATCAAGTTTATTTTTTGGTATTTTACCTGGTTCAGCATCACATCATAAACATCATTTCCTTCACTGTAAACATGAGCCTGAAAGAGAAACATAAAAATGTTTAATAAGACAAAAATCTGCAAATTCGTAAATAGTTTTTAGAAAAAAAATTGTTTTTCAGGTTTGCAATTTTTTTTATGTGCCCTTCCTGATGTGGGAATGTCTCAAACAGGACATTTATTGAGTATTTTGAATATTTATAGAGAAAAAGGAAAAAAGAACAATAACAACAACAACAAGGCAAAACTTATACAGCGCTGACACAGAAAACAAAACAGGAAGCAAGTACAGAAATTACAGCAATTACTTGAAAAAAACTAATTTACATCTAAACTTAAAAATATAGATCATCCCCTTTTAATTTTGAGACAATCCAGAACTTGAATCATGACTAATTTTGATTGTGTAGAATAATCCACATTTTCTATATATATTTTCTTACTAAGAGCAAAAAAAAATTAAAATATTTTGAGTTAAAACACGCCATCTTTATTAACTCATTTCTCTGACTTCAGAAGAATATGTGACACATTTTTGAACCTGCAGGTGTGAAACCACAGTCAGAGGTTTAACATCTGGTTTGTACACAGGAAACGCACCTTTCCCAGTTTAGCTTTGCATTCGGAGTCCACTGGAGCTTTGCCCTTCATCACCACCGTCCGCACCACCTCTGGGCAGAAAACACACACCAGACACATTCCTGATGATCATTTTTCAGCTCTAGTTTCATAGTTAAAGCTGTGATTTTTTTATATTTTACCTTCAGTTTTTATTTCCTCTTTAGGCATATCTTTGGTTTTTGCTGCACTCTTGCTCTGTCCTCTTCTCCTCTTAGCTGCCGGCTGCTCCGCTGTCTCCTCCTCTTCCTCTTTGATTTGAACTGAATCTCCATTTTCAGCCGCCACGTCACCAGCTTCATTTAAACTCTCTAAATTCAGGAAGATAAAAAAGATTTCAATTCAACATAACTACAGCTGAATGAACACTGGCTTTACACAGATAATGGAAATTTAAGATAAATGTTTCTTTTTTACTTTCAGTATTAACTTTAACACAAGGTAGGGTTGTAAAAAATAATTTGGGAGTTGGAAAGCACCTTATACTGGCATGCCAATATTTTTCATGTTCTGCTCTACATGTCTGAGCATACAAATAAAAAGACAAATTTGCATCGTTAATCATAAATCATATCTCGGGAGCCTGATGCATCCTTACAAACTTAAATATGTGCATATTTAAAAGGGCTATAGCAAAAAAATATATCCTTCAGCCTCATTTACATAAGATAAAGGCAACATTTCTGATAAAGATTGCAGTGAAAGTATACATATAAATTTAATTTATAAATGTAAAATAATTAATTCTGCCTAATTACACAACAGCAGCAGCTATTGATCAAAACTGAATCAGTAAAGTATTTTCTTAGATAAAAGGATAAAGATTCGCTGAAGCAGTAAAAAAGATGGGTACTTACCTTCTTTTACTATCTGAGAGCGAATCTTTCTCTTGTACTTTGTCGTAGGATTAATCTGGAGCATTTTCTTCAGATCAACTTCATATTTCTTCCCTGCGCCAAGGGTCAAAGTGACCGACGTCTTCCCTGATGAGGAAGCTGAATCCAGCATGGAGGCCGCTTCATCTGGGTACGGTTCCCACTGCCCGTCATCTCCTTGCCACTGCCACACTGAGCACAAACAAGAGTCAGGAGAGATGGGTGGAGTTTAGCTCCGTTTATTTACTGATTTGTAATTAAGGCATTCATTTAAACTCCACAGTTAATTTAAATAGAAATTAATATTGCACAACATAGTCTAATGCCGATTAATTCTACATATCAGCTTGAAATCATGTTGTCACTGATTTTTATTTAAGGTAAATCTGACTCAATATGTCCAGTTGTCTTTTTTGCTTTATATATTTTAAGATAAAATTGAAAACCTTTATAGACTTCATGAAAAAGCTGATAAACATGCAGCAGTTTACACAAGCTGAAACTCCAAAACATTGTTTAGTACATAATTATAGGCTTAATATTATTCAAATCTTTATATTTGGAAATTTCAGTTATTTTTCCCCAATTAGCAATTTGTTAATTGTATTAATATAAACGCAAAAATGGGTTTCTGGTAGAGTGATTGTGAAAGTGGATGGTATGAAGAACACTTTGCATATAATGTAGTTAATTTATGTCCAGATTGAAGGTTCAGACCCTTGTTTCAATAATTACTGCGTCCAGGTCTTTGTTATGATCTCACTGTTGCTTGTCCAGTCATGTCTGGACATTCTGGTTCCTTCCTAGCTAAAAACAAACACCAACCTGTCTTTGTCGGGACTTCCTCGTTTTCTACGGCGCTCTGGCTTTTATTTCTGGAACTTCTGGTTCTCCTCATTGCGTTCTAGATAATTTTATAATTTAGATGATAGTAGTAAGGTCCAGATGCGACAACACAGAGCGCGAAACTCCGCTACTGCTTCCTGGACGTGTCGGGGATCTTAGTGAAGCTCGTTTAGGAAGAAGATGGCTCACTCCGCAGGTAGACGCGACTGTTAATACAGTTACCATGTCAACAGTGCTATCTGAAATCAGTCCTGCTGCATCGTTTTTTTTACATTGGGAGTAAAAACCGACATTTGTGGTTCATTTGTTACATAATAGAATAGGTTATATGTTTTTTTAAGGAACCAGACAACTTTGCAAAGAAACCGTAAAACTGCGTTGTTTCCATCAATCACAATACCTTCCGATAATTTAGGGAAGAGTGAGTCCTCTTCGTATTTGTTTCGGAGTGGGAACAAAACTTTTGGTCTAAGAGGTTCCTCTTTAGTAATTCATCGGACTTATTTTGTTGAGGCTCAGCTATCGTACGGTGTGCTTTACGAAAGCGTGGATCAAAGTTGTTCATTTAAATGTGTTAAAGTTTATTTCTGATATCGAAAACATGGCGTCACGGAGTTACGGAGCCTGTTTTCTTTGTCAACGAGCGGCGGTGGTGAACATAATGTTCAGGGTGGGTGTAATTAGTGGCTGTCATTGAACGCAGCATTTTTACAATGGAGGTCAGATGATAGGATTTTTATACATTTGCCTCTTTCGAACAGTATTTACCTTATTTAATTCAATTTATTTTACCTTCTCACTAGTAATATTTGGAAACAGTTTAAAAATCTTTAATGCTATATTTAGATATCTAGAAATCTTTAAATGCAGTTAAGAGATCTTCATATTCCTGATTAAATATGTTTTAATACATAAGTTGATTGTTTTTTTCCTTTCCAGAGTGTGAGTTCAGCCTCGCTTCCTCAGCCTAAGGTCGATTTCCTGAAAGGAGAACTTCACAGGAAGCATCCAGGTGTGACCAACCTGAAGACTGTCCGGCTACCCGAACAGCTCCAGCTGGCTGCACAGTCCATTATTCACAGTACGTCCACCAGCTGGAGAATGGTTATCCAGAAATTAGACTCACTGCGTTCCTCATTAATTAGCTTCATGTTTACATCTGCAGGAGTTCGAATGCCTCAGCTTGTAGAACGTTCTCAAAAGCTCACAAACTTCCTGTGGAGCCGGAAGAGAGCGGTCGAGGATTTGATGCTGAGGCAGAAAGCTGTGAGCATGGAGAAGGAACTGTGGGAAAAAGCCGTGCAGAACATCAGAGAAGGTGATGGACTGAAGGCAATTTGTGATAATAATCCATACAGTTCCTTACATTTTAGGCGCTTATAAATCAGCACAAATGGGCTAATTTATAAGCCCTTTTGAAAAAAGGACAGTACATGATTGTTTATAAATAAAAAATCTCCCCCAAAATCGTTGTGCATCTGTATTGTCCTGGTTTCATAAAGGCAGTAGTTTTTGATTAATTTTAAAACTACTGCCTTTGTGCAACAAAAACTTTATATTTCGGTTGTGCAAATGTTAAAACTGATCAATCATTTTACTTCAACTTCAAAATTACCCATAATTTTGTGTTGGATTATAACAACCAAAAAATCCCCACAAGACACATTTTCCTTTGTGTCAAAAGGACACGGTGTCAAAAGGCTTAAGGCTGCAGTATGTAACTCTTATAAAAATGCACGTAATTTGTGGGAAAAAAATTTGCTCCTCTGCCTTCTCCCATTGCTAACTAGAAAAAAAAAACAATCAGAGCCAGGAGGCGGGTCTTAGCGATGTTAGTCATAATGTGGTGTGGTGCTGCTCACTCTCCTCCCTCTTAGACGTCAATAGTAGCTCAATGAGGAGGTGGAAGAAATCCATTTTTTTCACAGATGATCTGTCTCACACAGTCACAACATGATGAGAGTTTTAACAAACATATTCCATATTCTTTATAAAAGTTACATACTGCAGCTTTAAGGGGTAGGAATTATTTTTCAAAGTGTGTCTGAAGGCTGAGACAGAACCAGGAGTAATTAATTAACTGTGATCTTTTTGCAGATGTCGATGAGCAACTCCTGGAGGATCGCATCAGGAAGAAGGTTTTGTCGGAGCTCAGAAGAACGACGTATCGCTGGACGCCCCTAAAGTAACCATGCATGCTGCTTGGTTTAAGCTTAGATTTGTTATTTATTAGAGCAGCCACATCTCACAGCTTCAATTTAAGGCGTATAAATATCTCTGACCGCCTTGTGTTTCAGGTACGATGAAGACCTGAGCATAGTGTACATGGCGGCTCGGCTGGCTGGAGGCTATGCAGCAGCGAGGAGAGCTTTAAATGAGGTAGGTGTGCAGAAGATCATGTCTTCTCTAGCTGTTTCTATCAGCCCTGAATTAATATTTTACTTTTTTTGTTGATTTTATTCAGATAAAGAAGCGACATCCTTCATTTGCTCCTCAAACACTTCTGGATTTTGGTTCTGGCTTAGGAACCGTCGCCTGGTTGGTGTGCAAAGTGAAACTTTTATTTGTTTGGCTGAAACTTAAATAATGTGTTGAGTGTCTCTCTCCGTCCATCAGGGCGTCTCATTCATGTTGGGGCGACTCTTTGAAGGAGATTGTGTGTGTGGACAGCTCTGCAGCGATGAACGTTTTGGCCGAACAACTTCTCAAAGGTGCAGAAATGGATTTTAAAACAAACTGTGTCTTTTTTTAAAGTGAGAAATGTTAAATTTGTTTGCTTTTTTTGTGCAGGAGACGATGAAAGAGCTCAACCGCACATCAAACACGTTTATTTCAGACAGTTTCTTCCCGTCTCTCCTAAGGTCAGTTTTAGTCCAAGAAAAATATAAAACCAACCACTAACAGGTTTTTGTGCCGACCTTTTCATTGGCACCCCGAGTATGTGCAAAAATCTTTAAAATAAAAACATTTTTTATCGAAGTAACATAATCTCACATTCAGCAATTCTTGAAAATTAAATATTAGTTGAATCCAGTGGCGTCCAATTGCTCAAACTTCTGCTTAAATCCTCATAATCAGTAATCATTATTTAAGAAATCTGTCCATCTTTTCTTGTTTATTTACATTTTCTGACAAAATGGAGGAAAAGTGTTTTAGTTTTTGACATTTTTGAGTTCCTTCTCATAATGTACAAAGAATGTATCTGAGCTCACTTTGAAGGTCTAAAATACAGTCAAAATGAGTAAATTAGAATATTTCTGATACTTTATTCTAGTAACTTAGTTTGTTAAATTAAACAGATTATATAGATTAATTACAGACTCACAGACTGATGTTTTCAAGCCTGTATTTATGTTAATTATTATAATTTTCTGCTTCCAGAGAAGAAAACAACATTTAAGATCAGAATAATACATCAGGACAATTAAAAAAACAAAATTTTTAGAACAGAAATATGTGCTTAATTAAAAGATTACTTTCAATCTGACAAGCTCATCTGTAATTTACTGAATATGACTGTAGATAATTAGTAAACTTTTTTGTAACTTAACCTTACAAGACGAATAATCTGAAAGTAAAATAAATAATATTTTTGCTTGTTAACGTATTATAATCTTTTTTATCTACATATTTTCAAGCATACTACTGCTGTGTGTTCAGTATGTTGACCTGCTGTGCTGGAAGATAATAATATTAAATAAATATTTAATATAGTATATGCATAATAGCATTGAATGAACTTCCCATATCCCTATACAGACGCATATTTATCTTTATACATATATATATTTTATGTTTCAGCGGCTGAAGGTTTTCCTTAAATATTAATTTTGTATCAACTCAACCTTTATTTAACCTGGTGAGAATTAGTTTACAACCTCAATCTGGGACTGAAGCCTCAGTAAAAGCAAGATAATAAATGAAAATTATTTCAAACTGGAATAATTAAAGTCTGAAACATATAAAAAAATTTACCAGCTTTAAAATACACCTAAAAAAAATCTGTAGTTGTTAAAGTAAATGTTGCAGGTTATTTTTAATGAAACCCTGAAGGTCCAGGTTCTCTCTGCAGGTCCAGTTCGATTTGGTGGTGGCAGCTTTTACCCTGTCTGAGCTTCCCAACGCAAACGACCGGGCGGACGTCGTGACGACTCTCTGGAGGAAGACGAACTCCTACCTGGTCTGTTCAGTCTGGGATTTATCTACTGTTATATTTATATAATATACAAGGAAAAATCATGTTGATGCAAAATTTTAAGAGTTTCTTCTAATAAATTAGTAACTAAATAAACACAAGAATAAAGTACCACAGAACTAGATATTATGAACAATAATAAAGAAAAACTATAAAATTATCAGAATAAATGAATCAACTAAGTGAAAAGAAATCAATTTAAAAGTAAAACAAAATATCATTGAAGATAACTATTAAATTTAAGTGGCAGCAATAATGAAGATCATAGTAATAATAATATAAATTATATATATATAAAAAAACAAATGTATACATAAAAATAAATATATCATTCAAATAATTACCTAAATAAAATAAATATTTCTAAATTATTACTATTATTACTATTACTAAATTATTACTATTACTAAATAATAATTTAGTTATTATCTAAAAATAAAAAGTAAATAATTAAATATTTAGTAAATTTCTAATGTATAAATAAATTAATTCTATAAATTTCAAGAGTAAAATAAATAATAAGGACTTAAGGCTTATTTGTTTTCATGAGAATAATATTATTAATATTATTATTTATTTAAATTCTGAATAAGTACTTTAATAAAAAATAATGGATATTAGATTTGCTGATTAGATTGATGATTAACCAATAATTGTAATGTTTGTATTTAGGTGCTGGTGGAAAATGGAACCAAAGAGGGCCATCAGATGATGATGGAGGCCAGAGACGTTTTGTTAAAGGTACTCAAGTATTTCACAAAACATCTCACAGTCATTTTGATCAGTAATGTTTGCCCAGTGCAGTAATCCATATTATTGATCTCCAGAAACAGGAGAAATTCGTTCATGACTCCAGACCTGCATCAGTGTTTGCACCGGTAGGATTAAAATAAGTTTTAAAAGCCAGATTCCTCTGAGGCAGCAGCTTCAGGGTCTTCTTGTTGATAATCTTTGCTTCTGTTGTCAGTGCCCTCATGAAATGATGTGTCCCAAACTGGCCAAGGAACCCGTCACGCCCTGCAACTTCCACCAGCGCTACCATCCTCTTCCTCTGCCGGGGGTAAAACTCATCATCTGTTAATCCACCAAGCAGGAAATCAGGAATAGCTGTTTAGTTTTGAGCTTAAAAATACATTTTGATGATCAAAGTAAATACTTTTATGTTGAGAGAGAAGGCCTGTCGCAATACATCAATTAATCAATTAATCGCATGATAAATTAAAATGAGCTCAGTAATCTTGCATCCAAAAAAATGTACTACATTTAATTTTCACTAAAATAACACAAGAAGTTGTTTAATTTGTTTGTTGACGTATTAAAAATCATGTCTGGTCATAATCTGATCATCCAGACACAATCTTGTCATGATAGAAGAAAAAAAAAAGAAACAATTGACAGGTGAGCGTTTCGTTCTCAAAGGTGCAATATTTTCCCAATAACTTTGTTTTGTATTTTTTTAATTCAGAGGCATGAGTGTCAGACAGAGAAGTTCAGCTACCTGATTCTGAGTCGAACCAAAACGGCAGAACCGACACCGGAAGGTCTGGACTGGGGCCGGCTGATCGCGCCGGTTCTGTGCAGAACGCGGCACGTCCACTGCCACATGTGCTGCTCCGACGGACGGCTGCAGCACATGGTGGTGACGGCACGGAAACACAGCCGGTAAGAAAGACCGCTGGGCTGTGTTTACGGCGTGAAAATTATTATCAGAAGTGTTGAAAACCTGAGCAGATCTCGTTTTAATATTGGTGAATATTCAGAATCTGAAAAAGGAAAGTGGTATTACGAAACAAAAGACACATTAAGTGGGGTAAAACGTCAACTATTTTATTCATTTTAATGTTATTTGATTTTATGGTAATGCTGTGTTTGTGTGTCATTAAAAAGTTTTCCAGAAAAAAATGTAAAATAAAAAGAGCATTAATTGAATTTAGTAAACGTAGGAACTAGATTTTAAAAGTTGCCATTTAGTTGAGTATTTTTTTACTGTTACAGATTAAAGGAGGATTTCCACAGTTACAATTAGATAATGATTATTAAATTTAGTTATTTTAGAGACAGAGGATCATAATAAATCTTTTAAAAAATACAATGTAAAATATCAGATAAATTTAAAATCTTAAAATGAAACAGTTCAAACATTAGATTTGATAACAAGATTTCCTCTTTTTCTATACTTGTTTTATGAAGTTACTAACAACAATTATCTCTTAAATTGGATTTTTTTTTCTAGATTCAGATTTTACCTATATATTTCTTGCATAAAAAACTATTAGTACTGAAAACATTTTAATATTAGGTAATATTGAGCTTTCCCATGAGGTCCAATAATTAGTTTTTTATTATATTTATTAGTAACTTTTTATGGAGTGGAAAAGATCCTGGGAATAATCAGATGTAATGTAGTAAAAAACTGTCAAAAAATATTCTTAGATTTTATTTTAGGGCAAAAATCTCCATCTTATTTTTTTTTATTCTCAAAAAGTTAAAATACGGCATCTATAAATTTCAGAAATGCTCCACAAATTTCAGGATTAATTTTTTTCCTTACTGGAGAAATTAACAAAACTGTTTCAGATAGATCAGCTTGAAAAGTATTTGTTGTGCAGTTTTTATCTGAAATAAATTGTGTTTTGCCAGAGATGTGTACCGCTGCGCGCGGAACAGCGAATGGGGAGATCAGCTGCCGATTGTTGAGTACGTCAAAGAAGAGACGGAGGTCCACAGCGACTCGGAGAGCTGATGAAAACCTGGACGTTTCCTAAGTTTAGAATTAGAATCTATTTTGCTCTCTCTGTGTTTTGTAGGTATACCTCTATTACACATTTACATGTTTTTATTAGTTGCCATGGTCAATAAGTTGTTGATTATTCTGTTTTTGAGTCTGATTTGCATCCAGTTAAAGTTTATCTTTCTAAAAATGTCCAAATAAAACTAACTTACTTGCAACCTTGTTGACTCATAACACTAGTAAAACATGGTAATGGCAGCATCATGGACTGGAGTAGGAACTAATTATTGGTGGAAATCTAAAAAATTAAAGATTTTTTTCTGTTATCATTTATATGGCATTTCTTGTAATCTGTGCACAACCATCTCATCTAATTTGCCCAGTGAGATATCAAGATATAAAGGGAATTATAAATAAAATCCATTATTATTATTAATTATTATTAATCATGTATGTGTCATGTAATTGTGGAGTTTTATTAATGAGAGTGAAAACATCTGGCGAGTTATTTAATATGAAAAAAGTCCCATTTCGTAAAACGAAGCAGCTTACAACATTTTTAGCAATATATATAGAAGGCAGTAAATGATTTTTATTCATGTTTTTACAGAAAAGAAGATGAAATAAAGTTCAAATATCAGGTATTAACTCCCTACAATCTGTTTCAGAGCTAAGGTCAAGTCTGGGTACTTGAACTGATATCCAGACTCCAGTGTTTTCAGGGGAATGACTTTCTGGCCCTGAGTGAGGATCACGGCCCTCTCTGAGCCCAACATGGCGCTCAAGACGAACTCGGGAACAGGCAAGATCGTGGGCCGCCTCAGGATCCGACCCAGCTCCTTGGTGAACTCGTGGTTGGTGGTGATCGCAGGTGCGACTCCGTTGTACACCTGCGGTGAGGGGTTCGGGGCTTCGGTGTTCGCTGGGGGCTCCAGAGAGCGAGCGATGATTCCTGCCAGATCCGAGACGTGGATCCAGGGGAACGGCTGACTTCCGGAGCCCAACGTGCCTCCGAGACCGAGCCAGAACGGCAGCAGCATCTGCTTCATGGCACCGCCGTCTCGACCCAACACTGCCCCTAGTGGACGGAAAGAGGAATGAGTGAAATAACGTCTGTCCCGTTAACGGCTACGTTAACACAGCAGGCGGACACGACGCAAATTTTTAGTTGTGCTTTCTTTTTAGAAGCTTCATTCGTCTTGTTATGATACTCTGACAATCCTGTTGGCTCCCATTGCCGAATAAACTTAAAAGTTGATCCATAGACGTCGGCATCCGTTATTACTTCCGTAAACAGTGCGTTGCTGTGTGACGTTAGCGTTCTTCTTCTGCGCATGCGTGTCACAGTTCTAAATCGTTCACAGAAATTTCAATGCAGTCACATCCAACGAAATGCAAATCGGATTTCAGCAATAAATGATAACTAATCGGAATTGGGGATGATTTTCTTTTTGAATCTGATTTTAATAATTTCATAATTTATTTTCTCACTTTTTCCTTAAAATGAAATCACAAATGATAGAAAATATCTTTAAAAGCTGGCTTTTATTTCAGTCAATCCTCCTGTGCGTTGACCTGAATTCAAAGTTGAAATTAATAGAAAGTGTAAAACATGCTTATCACACAACTAACTAAACAATGGAAACCCAAGGAGGGCATTGGGGGAAAAAAAGCCAGATTAAGTAAAAATCCAAAAATTAAGTAATGAAAATTAAAATAATCAATAAAATCAATTATTGTAATTATCCAATAAGTAAAAGTATCCAGACAGCTAGAAAAGTCATGCTGTCTTTTTTTTACTTGAAAACTAATACTAAAAAAAAACAAATACAACTTTTTGCTTAACATTATATATCGAAACAATATATACTATTGAGATATTATTTTAAATGTAATATTTTATTTTGCAGGAGTCATTCAACATTTTTACAAGTTATTTTTTCCCCATTCATTTCTTTTTTCCTTTTTAGATATTTATAAGCTTTACCAAACAATTGAGTAGAGGTTGTGTGAAAGAAATTTTCTTTCTATGCCTTAGAATCACAAAGTTTATAATTGATGCTTTTCTGTTTAAAATTGTGTCCTATATTCTTGAAATAAAGACACAACTTGTTCCACAAAACTTGACTGAAGATTAAATTGTGGCATCAACAAGGTGATTCACAAAGAGAAATTGCCTAAAAAACATCTTAGATCCCGTGTTATCTTTATATTCTGGACAAAAAAAATCACCCAAAATAAAACTTTGAAAGACCTTTAGAAAAGCTGGAGATTTGTGGATTAAGACCACAGACTACAAAAGTGTCTGGCTCTTTGGAAGTAACTAAAGAAACCAGAGATTATTTAAAACTTTTGCATATTTCTCTAAATGGGAATAGGCATGAATAAATCTCCCTCAGCTTCTCTACTGCCCCTCTAAACGTCCCGCTCTCTGAACGTACCGGCCCGAATGACAACTTGTTTGGTGGTTTTCGCTGCGTTCTCAGGAAGAAACGCTGCAGCCTCCCACTCTTTGACGAGTTGTGAGAGGAGGTCAAAGGGCGTCCACTCACTGTCTTCTGTGTATTCAGCTGTGAGACTGGGTTTGTAGCAAGCTGTGAGTCAACGAGGAAAACCAGACAAAATCAATCATGAATCTGATTCACATTTTGTGCCTTTTGCAGCTGCTGAGCGTAGATCCGTACCTACGCCTGAAACCAGAACCCAGGAGTGAGGAGGGCTGGAAGACGCAGCGATGGCTTCAGACAAAGCTTTAGTTGTGTCAATACGACTGGAGAATAAATCCTTTTTATACCTTTCATTCCACCTGGAAGGACAAAAAATCAGGTTATAGATTTGACTTAAAGTATAACGCAACTGACGGATGTTACTAAATAAAGGAGTCAAAAGCAGGATACATTTTTAAATACCTAAAGATACCAGAAAAGGAAAGGTAGCAAATTTACACTAAACATGACAATTCAGTTGTTTTTACTACATGTTATTTTAAACAGTTTAAAAACTATTCCAACTACTTCTAACCCCTTATACACAAGGTTTAGTAAAGCCTCTTGTGAGCAGATAATATAAGCTCTAAAGCATGTGGTTTTTCACATGATGCAAATAAATAAAAACAGGTTCATGTTAAAGTTTTGAGCAGGTTACTATGAAGCACAAATCTTGAGGTAGAGCAGTCCTAAAAGTGATTAAAATCAGGCTTTGTTGTTAAGTAAGCAGTACTTACATGCTGTTCATGTCTAAATTAAATTTTTCCGGCTTTGTTTTCCAAAATCCACAATTCTTCTAATTATTTTCAAATAAATATAAATAGTCTTTATTAATATTGGTAGAAGTATGGATGGGGTCTAAAAATGCCTATCTGTCACTGTGACAAAAAATATTTATTTCTTCACAGTTGAGTAGTAAATAATTACATCTACTCAAAAGTAGTAGTAAATACCTTTATAACTACTTAATTGAGTCATTGTATTGTGAAGTATTTATACTCTTACTTGAGTATAATTTCTGGATTTTCTACCTACTGAATGAAAAACAAACATGTTTCACCAGACACAGACACACCTGCAGGTTTTGTTAAAGTTTAGAAGTTTTATATTGAAAGAAACTGATTTGGAAACATTTTCTTTTGCCTGATTTTGTTATTTTTTGATAATTTGATCAGTTACTCAGTACTTGAGTAGACTTTATACCAAATACTTTTTTACTCATACATGATTAATTTCTTGGACGGCTACTTTTTACCTGTACTTGAGTAAAAATATGTTAAATATGTTAAAGTAGTGCTACTCTAACTTGAGTATGATTTTTAGGTACACTGCCCACCTTTGTCTATCTTATACTTAAGATTTGGTGGCTACATTGTGATTATTACATACAGAAAAATGAGTTGCAATTGTTTTTCCATCATTGTGATGAAAATAGGCAAGTCAGATTACAGTATAAAAACCTGTTTTTGGGGGGTTCTCACCATCGAAGGGGGTTAAGAACATTCTCTCCTGCCAAGTTGACGGCACCATCACAAGGCGGCAGTCCGCGAGACTCCAGTTCTTTCTGCAGGAGCAAAAAGATACAACAATTCAAGAAATTACAGGCATATTTGGATTTATAGAGAAGCACAGTAATCAGTTATGTTGTAGAGAAGGAAAATCCCTGTTCACTGTTATCAATCAAGAGAAGGTAATGATTGAGGAGCTGAACCTCCTGGTCATACCCAAGTTATCCTTCCTGGACCAGGCTGACGGGATATCAACGTGACCTCGTGACCTTTGTCTCTGAGCAGGCGTGTCAGCTCACGACCCACAAAGCCAGAGCCCCCTCCTGAGACACAGACACATATCACACATACAAACAGACTGTAAGCATGATAGAAAATAGTAAATTATCTTGCAATATATTAACTTTAAGGAAATACCATAAACTCCTCACTAAAATGGTGATAGGCTGCATGATACACTAATTAATTATTTAATGCTTCAAAGCATACAGTTGTGCTGACACCGTATTCAACCCCCCTAAAAGGATCGAGCAGCTGTAAATAGTGCGCATGCGCATTTTACATGCTTACAAAACAAAACACATGCGTGGATTTTGCTTAAATAACAAATTCAAAATACAGCGATCTCGTTTTATCTTTCAACTGACGGCAGGATTTTAGACGCACCTGGATTATCTGTTGCATGAAATATGAATTCAATTCGGGTTCTGTCAGCAGCTCTAACCTTAGCTTAGCAGTCTTACAAGCTAACTTGAAGCATTTTGACCTTTCTGAGAATTTAAAATTAAACAGATAACTGTAATAGCTTTTCTTACCGATTAAGACTCTCATGGCCAAGGGTTTCCACCCAGCGCTGACTTTAAATCCCTCAACTTCGCCGCTAGTAACCAGTTTCTCCTCTGTCTGTCACTCTTAAGTTCTCACTACGCTTTTTTCTCCTACTTTTGGACCAGTGGGCGTTCCGTACTACAATATGGCAAATTACATTTTGTAGTTTTTTCCCTTCTTTTATTCGCTGGAAACATCTGCCACCTACTGGTTTTGTGCGATAATTTCATGCAGTAGAAGGACTATTACTGAATATAAAAACTCAATAGATTAATTTGTCATATTTTTCATGCTTTGAAAACTTTTTAATACGTTTCTTCCACTTCAAACTCTGTTGTATTTTGAGGTGTTTTATTACATTCAGTTTGTGCATTATGGGTATGCATGTATTTGGATTATTTATGTGTTGGGAGTTTACCACGTTATTAAAATGGAAAAATGTGTTCATATTTATGACAATACTTTTATATATAATTGCTAATTTGGGATAATTTTGATTTAAAAAGACTTAGGTAGGTTTTACTTCCTTTTCTCCTATTTCAGATTTGATGTTATGTTGTTTTGATGAACATTTTTAGTTATTTTCTTGTAAGTAATATTGCCTGTGTATCAGTTTAATAATTCAAATTCAAATAATTCAAATATATTCTATCTCATACAGATAAACAACAAAACTTTATAATACTTTATAATACAATAAAGATGATCGTTGTAATAGAAAAAAAGTAAAATGTTCATAATTCAAATTATTGAACTGACCTATCTAATCCGAAGGAGTCAATTCATAATAGAGTTGCTAAGACAATAAAGCAGGTTTATTTTTATGGACATTATTTTTGTATGCAATGAACGTTTAAATATGATGTGCAGTGAACAAATTTAATTGTACCCATATTTTGTAAATGTTTTTATTACATCTTGCAGCTTAATAATTATTTCCAAGATGAATATATAATGTTTACTTAATGAAAAAGTTGAGACATTTTGTAGTATTTGGCTGGGTATATAGGATAAAAACAAATATATAAAAAAATATACGTTTCCCCAGGATTTATTTTTCTATTTTCAGCCTGTAAAAATAAAACAAGACCATCTTGTAAAACAAACTCATATCAAGTTAATTCACTATAATGAGATTGTAATGTTGTTGGTCTAATTTGGAATTATTTGTAAATTTGGGACGGGAGAAGCTTTGATTTCAACAGTAACGTGTAAACATAATTAGAGAAATGAAGTAGTGACATGAAATTTTATGTTGCCGTAAACCGGAAGTTGCCCGTGTGTGACGCCAAGCACGTGGTTTGATAAAGAGATAAATTGAGGCGCAGCCTCATTAACATTCTCTCTTCCTTGTCGCGGTGCAAGAGGAAGGAGTGGCGGCTACAAAGAACTAAAACATCAGCAGTTTTAAAGCCTAAAATGCGGTAAGTGTCGTATTTTTCGTGTCCGGTTTGTTTTCTTCTTTGGTGATGCATTTGATGCTGAGCAGGTGGATGATCGTTGCGGTTTAGGATCATCTTTAGCTCTTTGTTGCAGCGTTAGCGCCAAACCGACCTCATGGTTTGATTTCACAGGAGATACTCGACAAGAAAAGCGTTCAAATAAAAGCTCAGGCATTTGATGATTTCTGTAAAACTGCTAAATTCATAATGGGGTCAGGCAATTTGTGCTGCACATGATTTATTTGACTTTAGCTGAAATCCTCATTTAAGTTATTTTATTTTAAGTTATTTTACAAAACTGGTATTTTATTTAGATTCATTGCCTACACCATTATCAGTTGTTTATGAAAATCCTGAATTCATTTTTTCTAAAAAATAAGAACATCAGACCTATTCAAAAGATTTTCATTATATACATTTTCATTATAACATTTCTAAACTGACTTGTTCACCTGAGTCATAAGGTGATAGGTAAAATGAGAAGTTGCTAAATTGACTGGTAAGGTTGCTGTATTTCTACCATGTTGATGAAAGTTTAGTGGAAGGAAAACTTGTGGTGTATTAAAAAAATGTGCATGAGCCACAACCACAATCTGTGTCAGATGTGTTCTGCATATCTGTTGGAAATTGAGCTCTCAACCTAGGAGATGTTTACCTTTTCAGAAAAACATTTTTTATATAATTAGAAAAAAAATAAGCTTATTAAGATGCACCTCTAGTTTTGCCTCTTTTAGTGGCTGTACTGTGAGCTATTTGGTTAAAATCCTGAAAGTTGCCTTTTTATGTCGTTGGTGTGTCATACTGAACTTTTGGGGTCAAACCTTGCATGATGAGTTGCATGTGAGTCCGTGTTTCACCTGAAACTGATGATTTTACTTTCACTGCACTGATGGGTTTGACTTTACTGATGCTCTCCAGGTTTAGGCCACCGCAACTGAGATTAAACTTTAATTTCCCTTTCTCTCCTTTTTAGGAAGGATGCGTTATGAAAACCGTTTGAGGTAAGAACCGTCTGGTTTTAAATGTAGCATCAAATGCTAGCTAGCATCCAGTTTTGGTTAACAGTCCTGTACATTTCTACTCTGATTTTGGTTTGTGATCTAATAAAAGATGGATGCAGAAGTTAGATTTTTATCTTTATAACGTTGAGTTGAACGAACTGATCTTTAACCGTTTTCCTTTTCCTCCACAGGTGGGATGTCAGGAGTCTACTTGTTGACCCAACGCCTCAATCTGAGAAATTTATACTGATTTGAAATGTTGCATATCCTGGACATGTAAAAAAGTCTGTTTTAATTTAAAGCCTAAACGACAATAAACTACTCTGCAAAAAAGTAAAGCCTCAAAGATCTTTTGTGTAAATGTTTTGTTTTCCAAGGTTTGCAGTTTTTTTAGATGATTTCCTATTGGATTACAGCTTCAGATGTTTGAGTGTAGATTGTTTCAGTCTAAAGTTTTAAGTCTCACTTGATCATGATCTCCTTTATAAATGTCCTCAGCATCTTTTCACTCCATTTGCAGGAGGCTTTGTACAAAAATTATCTTTCTTGACTTGAAAGCATATTTTATTCATACACTTAAAAAAAACAGGAAACAAACAAAAAATAAACTTTATATTGGGAAAGAAATGCTTGAAAAATGTACAGTACAATTTGAGATGCAAACTCAAGAACAAAGCAATTCACCTGCAAATGTTTTCCAAACTGGATGTTGGATTATACTTTTAGCGTAAGAAAAATTCTGACAAAGAGGAGCATATGAACAAACATAAGAATACAATGGATGTTTAGCCAGCAGAAAAAAATAAACATTGAATATTTTTTTATGTTTACAACAAAACGCATAAGCTGGGACAGATTACTAGTGCAGATTAATACTTGTCTCTGTTTCCTCAAAGAAAAAACAAAGGTTGTTTCAGCACCTAGAGACATACTTGTTTCCTCAGAATCTTCTGAAGTTAGATTCCCATCTTGTAAATACCAGGATGCTCCAAATACTCCATAGCAGTTCATCTATTGATTGATGGTTAGGTTGTTTCTTACACCCTTAAATATCTGAAGCATGAATATTAAATGTTGAATAATGGTTACATCCAGCAACATTAGACATTGTGAATTTCTCTCTGGGATTAATAAAGTATATATCCATTCATTCGCTACTTTTTTGCTAGCTAGTTTTAGCCGGAACACTCTGGTTTAAATCTAACTGAACATATTCAGTTAATGTTCTATTCATCCAACATTTGTTGTGTCCAGTAAGTTTATATAGGTAGTTTTGTGAGTAAATATATTAAATCTAATAGTTTAAGTGTAGAATTGAAGTTCGTTTCCAGCTTTAGCTTATTTAGCCGCAGCGCTAATGCTAGGTAGCTGAGCGTCTTAACGCCACATATGGTTGTCAGGGAAACTGTTTCCATTATGTCAGTAACTTTTTATGCCTTTACTCCTGGGAGTCCCAAGACATGACATCATTGAGATCATGTTTTCTTTTAAGATGCAATTTGTCATTGTAGTATTTTTAAATAAATAATTTTAAATAAACTTGTAAAAGCATATATGTGAGGTTGTACAGAACAAATTTATACAAAACAAGACTCTTAAACAGTTTAAAGTGTAATCTCAAACCAGCTTGTAAGTTTTATTTTTTTACACACTGGTCAAACCAGTTTAGTTAAACTATCTTATTTTGTTAGAGCATTAAGTTTTGTGAACACACTGCAAAAATTTGCTATGGAGTTAAATTAATTGTTGGAATTAGATTAATTTAGTTGAATTTATTTTTCTCTTTTTTAAAGCTTTATGAAAGCACATTTTAAAAATGTGTTAATTTGTATTTTAGCTAATATTATTTCTGCTAAGAAACATTGGTTAAAATTCACACAGTTAAAAAGTATGCAGACTGTTGCATTTTTAAAATTTTAGTTTATCAGTGTAAACCTTTTTAAAATAGAACAATAGACATGTCTTATCAAGCTCCTCTCCTGTGAAACTGTAGCATTCAGTTTTTGTCCTTGAGACATAAATGGGAATAATGATTTATTCCCACTTTTGTTGAATAATATTGTTTTTACTAACATCCTTAGTTGTTTCAGTGCTTCCATGTTTAAGGATGATTGCAGCTAATATGAGATTCAATGCAATCTGAGACCTTTTTTTTTTGCTACATAAATTTTTCCACCAACTTTTATTAGATTGTTTTGGAGCTAAACATCAGTTTGGTTAAACAAGACGTTTTTGAAGGAATATTCTGACTATGGTTGAAATTAATGTGACCATAAAACTGTCCCTGTTTTTCATGTAAAGTGCTTTCAGCTGTCAGTTGTGGCTTTACATAAATTAACAAAATATTGTTAAAGAGGGAAGCAGTTTTTGGTTTATGTGCTGCTTAGCTCTGGAGCTAACTCCCTGAATATCTGAGATGTGCAAAAACAACCAGGACTGAAAACATCCTGCAGTTTTAAACTACTAATACATGAATTATCATTAAATAGAATAATTTTGTAAATTTTTCTCACATTATGTTGGTAATCCAAGCAAGCAATGTAAAACTTTTATATAAGATGTATCAACTTTGTAATTGAAATTAAAGTTTATCGTCGGAGAGTTTATCCTGTAATCATTTATGATGGTTTAAAAAAGTAAAAGTTCTGTTGTGAAACTTGGTTTTTCCCACAAGTAGCTTTGCACGTTTTACAATTCGTGGTCCATTTAATGCTCTAATTTAGCCCATTGTTGCAGTGGCGGAGTTGTTTAAGATATTGTTCATTTCTCCTGCACTCTCTTTCTGTTTACTGGCTGTTTGTTCCGATGACGCCGTGCCGTCGAAGAGCTTAGCCATGAAGGCTAAGCCGTTTTTCTTGATGTAGGACTTTCCAGCGAAGGTGTAAAGGATGGGATTGGCACAGCTGCTGAGAAAAGCCAAAGCCGAGGTCACAGCTCGGCAGGACTCCTGAATCAAGTCCAATCTGTGGGTAAAAAAGATGGAAAAAATCTGTTAACTGCAGCAAAGAGCAACAGTTAGGATCCTGTAGAAACAAAACCTCTCACTCTGACATTGATGTAGATGTTTACATAAAACTCCACCCAAAATAAGAGACAGAATAAATATGAAAGATAAATTGTGCAAAGACAATTTCCAATTAAAACTTAGAAACCAACAAACGAAAGGTAAAAAAATCCATCAAATTGAACAAATAACAGTTCCTATATACATTTTAAAAATCCTTAACTAATTTAAATGTCACTTTGCTCAGATGTTAATAAGTACAAGCCAAAATATTGATGTTTTTGAAAAGTTGAAGCATATATTTGACAAACTATAGAAATATATGCACAAAAATTCAGCTTTTCCAAGGATTAATAAGACGTGCAAAATTCCTGGTGCTGTTAAATTTGGGTATTTTTGCTTTTGATCACAATATTTTTGGTAAACTACCATTACCGATTACATAGGTCTGTCTATAGATGAGTTAGTTTACATGTTGGATCCTTTTCCTCTCTATAGATCCAAAAGTGCTTCAGGGTTCTATATTAGGCCCCATTCTCTCTATAATCTCTGTAATATTTCATTAAATGTTACATTTAATTTATGTGCTAATGACACATTTATCTGGTCAAATGACATAGCACAACTTAAGTTGGTGTTAAATGCAGAAATGCAGGCAAAAATACATTTATGATAAATTGTTGTCATTGAAGCATTCATGATTATGCCATGAAAAACCTAAAACCCTGCATTTGTTATTGTATCTTTATTTTAAAAACTAAGTTGGTTCTTTATCATTTTTAGTCAAAGTTATTAAGAGCCACTGTTGGAAATCCAAAAAGCCACTTGGATTTCCAAGCTTGGCTCTTGGAGCTGAAAATTGATCTGGCCCAGTTTTCTTTTACATCCTGTGCATGGCTAGACATATACGAGTTGCTTGCAAACATTTCTGTGCACATGGAAAAAATAAAGGAAAACCTTTCCCTCCCTTTCCAAACTCATCACTACAAAAGTTGTAACTTTGAGCACAGATTTGTAATTTGTCTCCTGGGCTGCAGTGCCAAACACATTTACAACAAAGGTCATTTTGTAAGAGACTTGGGAAAGGAGAACTTAGAGTGTAGATGAAAATTATCCATAGTTATGCAATAGTGTATGTTTATAATGCAACTGATAACACTGAATCAATGTCAGACCAATCTGTAACCTAATTACTCCAGCCTGAAATTGCCTGGTTACGCCTTAAAAAGGAAATACCACCGATAACAACCAAAACAACAAAACAACCAGAAAAAGTGATAAAACATTAAAGACTGAAGTTAAAAACATGATGCCTTAACTGAATACATAGTAAATATGGTTACCATACAGAAATGTGAACATAATGAACAATTTTACCCTTAATATTCAGCAATACATCTTTATAGAATAGTAAAAGTATAAAGCAATTTCATTTTACTCACTTTTTTCTAGTTTCTGACTCCTTCTTATACCACTCAGCTGCAACCTGGGAGTCACAAAAAGCTTTAATGAAGACAAGAACCCAGGAGCAGAGAAAGGAAATGTTTGATTATAGGTTAAAAACATTTTACTCACCTGCACCATGTTGATTACATGGTATGGAAACCAAAATATGCCAAATGTTATAACAATAGCGAGGATGAGTTTTTCGCTGCGAATCCTTCGCTGGAACTGGGTCTGCCTCAGGCGTCTCAGGGTGAGGACGTAGCAGGTTATGATGACTGCATACGGGAGGATGAATCCTGAAACTGTCTCTAAAGAATACTGAAACCGGACCTGACAAGAGAAGCAAGGAAAAGAAGTTAAAATTATAACAGAAAGAAACTGAAAAACATATTTTACATGGGGAAAATTGAGACTGTTGAACCTTTCTAGTTCATGGTTTTATAAATTCTGTGAAAATAGTTTATGTTCCTTTACTTGTACAAACCTCTATTAATTTCTCTTTTCCGTTATGTTTATTCAAAAAATTGCGACATTCAAATTCCCAAGGTCCATTTTTTGTTGGGCAACTTTTAGTTTATACTAATTTTGCTATTTTCTTCTAGCTACTCACTTTTTACGCGTTATTTATACTTTTCAGTTGGGCTAAACAATATGGCTGAAAAATCACAATATAAGATCACATTATAAGAGTTTGATATCAGTCGATACTGACAATTATTGATTTGTTTTTTGTTTTGAATATCTGAAAAACTGCCAAGTGCTGACTGCTCAAGTTACTGAACAGGTTGCTAGATAACCAAAGAGTGAGTGAGTTGCTAGGTAACCAAAGAGTGAGTTGATTCCACAAAGAGGTTGAGCAGCCTACTTCTCCCAGAATCCTGTGCGGTTCGAAATTATCGAACATTTTAGTACAATAAAAAAGTATTTGGTAAAATGTCTGCTCAAGTACAGAGTAACTGATCAAATTAT